CTGGCAAAGTCAGACACACACCATGAACAAATTACTTTTACCCAATTACTAATTTAAGACTAATTTGTTTATGTTTTAATTCTTCTGTAATTTGTTCTTCCTGTAGAACAAGTAAGATCCAACCATGTAGTTAACAGCTACAGCCTAACATGCATACAAAAATGATGGAGAGGTCACACTTGCTCCAAACTCTAGCGCTATCCCCCCTTCTCCATCCAAATTATTAAATTAATAAAAAATTACTCCAACTATAAAATTATTCTGGTGTCCTCAACATAAAAAGGACATGGAACAAGTCCAAAGGAGGGCCATGAGGATGATCATGGGGCTGGAGCACCTCCTGTATGAAGACAGGCTGAGAAAGTTGGGGCCGTTCAGCCTGGAGAAGAGAAGGCTGCGTGGAGACCTCATAGCAGCCTTCCAGTATCTGAAGGGGCCTATAGGGATGCTGGGGAGGGACTCTTCATTAGGGACTGTAGTGATAGGACAAGGGGTAACGGGTTCAAACTTAACAGGGGAAGTTTAGATAGGATATAAGGAGGAAGTTCTTTACTGTAAGGGTAGTGGGGCATTGCAATTGGTTGCCCAGGGAAGCTGTGAATGCTCCATCCCTGATGGTGTTCAAGACCAGGTTGGACAGAGCCTTGGGTGAGATGGTTTAGTGTGAGGTGTCCCTGCCCATGGCAGGGGGGTTGGAACTGGATGATCTTAAGGTCCTTTCCAACCCTAACTATTCTATGATTCTATGATTTAATGTAAATAATACAGCTATTTTATGTCTGGACAACTGCTTCCTGAAAGTGCAGGTGCAGGGCATACTTTCAAGCTCTTCTTCACGACAGTAAGACTTAAACAGAGGGTACTGAAGGTTATAGCTACACAGAAGAAACATGACTCCAGAGGATTAGAATTTAGAGCTATCATCAGGGGAGTTGTGAACAACACTGACAGTAAAGCTTAGTTCTGGTATATTTAAACTTTGATCATTTTGATTTCTTCCATGCCCATTAATAAAAAGTCAAGTGTACTGCAGAGAGCTGAATGAGTAGCAGAACGGTAGACATGGTACAGCCACAATCAGAAAAGGGCCTTTTCCCAGCATAATGAACTATGGTTTCTACTCCACACTCCCTATATCCTGTGCTCATTTCAGGTCCTCCAGTGAAAGCACATGGAAGTTAAAAATATTATTGCTGAGTTAGGACAAGCAGCCTTACCAGAGGGATAGTGTGTTTTGGGGGTCTACACCATAATGCTTGGAAGTCCTCTTGAAGACTTCAAGGAATAAAATCCATGCAGAAAGACTTGAGCAGCAGCCCTCACTTCCACCATGTAAAACATTTCACAGCTTGTCTCATTATAGCATTTGTAAAAACACTGTCTGAGAGCAGTGGTGCATAAATGAATTATTTAAGTTTTGCAGCAAATCACCCTGATCTTGCGTGCAGCTTCTTAATGTACTCTAAGTGAGCCCTGGGAGGCAAATCATAGCAGACAAGGGGTGTAATGTAAACCAAGTTTTATTAGCCACGAAAAGCCACACTACAACATTTATTAAGTATCAAAGACAGTGCATTTAAATAAATTTGATTTGGTAAATAATAGCCAACATGGTGCCTATCTTCCCTAGTTCCAAAGGCTTTTTTAATTTATTTTTTAAACCCAAACAAAAACATCAAACCCCAAAATAGCTGTTTATTTTCTTGTCAGTTCTGCTAACATAACAGGTCCTCTCTAGTTTGCAAATAGCGATTTTCCACAAATTACCATGTGTCACAAACAGTCTGCAGCTCTCTAGCCTTAATACTTAGCAGAAAAGTAAAAGTGCATTAGTATGTTATCATCCACTCTTTATCAGTGCAGGCTACGTGGTCCCTGCTGCCCTTAGCAGCCTGGGAAACAAACAGGGCCCAGTGCTCCCTGCCTTGTCCTCAATAAACAGGCCCCAAACACCCTCCTGTTTTCCTTTTTTAGGCAGCTGCCTCTTGTACTGCTAACACGGAGCAGACCTTCAAAACCAAAACTATTTCTGCCAGAGCTCCATATTCAATATGGTATGAAATCTAAAAGGCAGTGTAGCAAAGTCTTCTTCCATATCCCTGCCCTTTTCTTACCTCATTAATTGAATCTCAAGAAAAACCTAAGTACTGCCTCACATGCCATACGATTAAAACACAAATCATCTTTTATCTTTGGCCAAGGAGATAAGTCCAAGTCCAGACAGACAATAACAATAAAAAGAAATTAAATACACCGAAGTATTCAATGGGCAGACACTCACTGATAAATATTTAATGCTCCGATAGCACAATTTGGGTATTTGTAAAATGCAGCTGGTTTTCCTTTGATTGAGCATCTCCCTTGCTCTCTCCAGCTTCGGACTGCTATAAGAAAAAGTAAACTAGGAACTTCTCCATTTGCCCTGAATGCTGAACTAAGAGGTAGTGCTTAAAACCACCCAAGCCACATAGCCTTGTAGAAATGTAGTCCAAGTCCCCCATCTGTCCCATCACAGCAGAGAGCACAACTAGTGCACCAGGACTCCTCTATTGTGTGGGATATGATGCTGGTCCAAAAACCACCACACAAGCCACCCAAACAAGCAAAGATTGGTCTTTGCTGCTCTGAAGATGTGTAGAAGCATCCTGCTGCTACTCACACTCCAGACCACTGAATCCTGGGTCCCCTTCCCAGAAATCACTTGCTTTATTTTCTTCTATGATGCTGAGAAAGCAGACAGATGAAAATCTGGTGCTTGAGGCATGAAGGAAAACCTAGCAGTTTTAGACACAGAGCCCCAGTTAGCTTAGAGCCAATGCGGAGACTGTCTAAATCTAGATGGTGACATACAGAGCCTCCTCTAGGTGTGCAGAAACCTGTTGGTGCAAATAAAAGGCTTTTTTCATGTTGGTTTAGCTGAGCATCTCTCACTGAGCAATCTGTGAGCTCCAGAGATGACTATTACTTGGCATCCCAGCTCGTTCTGCCCTTGCTAGGGTTCAGCAGCAGAACCAACCATGTTGGTTCTTTGACCAGAAGTGGTAGAATTTAGCCTGAAATTCTGTCACAATTCTTTTGCTATAATTGTTTTTTTCATTTTCCTTCCACCTTCCTTCTCATACTAGAAGAATCCATTACACGACCCTCCTTTTGTGAAGGCCTTCCTATGAGCAGCTGCATAAACAGGACAACCAGATTTTAAACTGAAGAAAGCAATAAATTTTTTTTCTAACTGGAAACCTCCTACCACTTTTTGCCTTAGGTATTTACATTTTCCAAAGCAAATTTCTTTACACTTTTTCACTGACTTGCCTTTTTTCTTTTCACCTTGCCTTTAAAAACTAAAAATGACCCAGTTGTGAAACAAGGTAACTCTTTTTTTTTTTTTTTTTCCAGAAAATATGAACTATTTCTGTGTGATTTTTGAACTGAAATGGAATGGGGGCTTCTAGACAAAGATTTAATATCATGTAGTACAGAGTAAAAGTAGCAGATAAATAGGCCTTTGCTGCAGCAGCATGCAACAGATGTTTCAGAGGAATGAGCAAGTTTCACTTACAGTCCAGATGTGTAATATATACAGAATGAGCAATGGGAACCCAAAGGGAAAATGATGCCACTTATAGCCATCCATGAAAAGATTATTTTCCTATAGAAAGGAGCAATCAAACAGTTGTCCAACTACTTAAAACAAGAGATGTTCATCTTTCAGCCATCCACATTGGAAGAGGGGCTGTTGAAACTGGCCTGGGAATCCAACAGCTTTACAGAGCATATTGGCCAGAGCAGAATTGGCTTTCCACTATAAAACAAGCTATTGCTTTCCATACCTCATCACCACCAGAAAAATGAAACCAAAGCAATCACACCACTGCTGATGCATGGACACAACATATAATCACAGAAAATGCCATTTTCCCCACCTGGGTTTTCTATTCCTCTGAAGTTGTGTCCTTACTCCCTATATTCAGAACTATTCCTATCAAATACACGGGTTACAATATTTAATATTCAAATTTTAAATATTTCAAAGTTCAGAAGAAAAGTTCATTACCAAAGGAAAGTATAAACAAGGAGATGATAAAATGGTGTCATAAAATATGCTAATAATCCCTTCAACGGCATATCTTGCTGTTGTAATTAACTAGTAATGCATTCCTCCCATGTTTTGTAGAGTTTTACTGCTTTAATATATAACTGGAGCTCTTCAGCAGGATCAGTGTAACTCGATCACCATTTTCCTTTCCATCTAGTATGACCATGTTCAAGACTCAATTGCTGTGTCATTTATTGTGCATGTTTCCCAACAGACAGCTTTGGTAGAGTTCAACAGAGTCAAGTTTGATGGTTAAGTCTGTGTTACCTCTTCGATGCAATTGTGAGACTGCACCAAAGCAATGTTTTATATACAATTTTACAAGCCTCTCCCTTTCTCCACTGCTGTTCGCAGAAAATCTGATAACTGGTATTGATTGACAGCTTTTTTAAGTGAGCATGAGTAATCATGTCAGATTGAGTTACACTTTCTAAATGTTCCTAAAAATATTCTATTATCCTGATTATTGATCAAGTGAACGTGTTTGGTTTATAAATGTAATTTTCCTCAACAAAGCTTGTTTCAAGAAGGCCCACCATCAGCAACTTCGCAGCCCCTGGTCAAAAACATCTTGAATATTCATATTTTGGTTTTTTCCCTTGAAAGAAAAAAACCCAAACTCATTGGCCAATTTCATTTATTTAAGTGCAAATCAGTTCCCAGTGAAATTCTTCTCAGGGAGAAAGGAAAGCCAGGTCTGGAAAGCAAAACTGCTCCAAGTCATGTTCTCAGTGATTTCAGTAGCCGCGATTTTCCAGTGCACAGCTGGAAGACATCTCAATAGGCCAGTAAGCAGTCACTCCAGTAAGCTTTTAGAAAACAGCTCCTTTAGGATGCTTTCATATAAACTCCTAAAACTCAGAGCAGCAAAATTAACTAGTCACAAGCCAAAATTACAGGGGGACAACCTGCAAGCTTGCTTCACTTCACTACAAATTGTGCTGGGTAAGTGTCGGTAAGATCTGGACTTGGCCTCAAAAGTGGCTGCAAGTACCAAAGCCTCAAAATAGGTAACTATTGGAAACTGGCCCTGAGTTGGACTTGCTTGGAATATTGTTGGCCCTGAAGAGGACTTGCTAGTGAGGAACTTCATCTCTTTGAGTTATCCCAAATGAAGTTGGTTTGATGCCATACATACGCAGGGATGCTTTTTGGTGCATTCTTACATGCATGCACAAGTCAGAATTTTAGCTGTCTGCTGTTTCTGCAAGCACAGGAAATACACACAGCACCCATAAAGCAGATCAACTGACTTTCCTTTTAAAACACTGCTTTCAGACAACTACAGTCACTTGGAAAGAAACTGCTCAAACTGGGGGTTTTGTTTTCAATTCAGATTTGGGGGAGCTGCTGTTTTGATTCTGAGGTTTGTTGGGTTTATTTGTATTCAGAAAACTATTGAGGTGGAAGCCGGGAAGTATCATGTGAACTGGCTGGATCACCACACCAAGCAAAATGAGAACTGGGGCTACAAATGTCTCAAAATAAACACACGGCTCTCCACATTACTTTGCTTTTCTCATACTTTAAAATATTCTTCCAACCACTTAACTGTTTCATGCTTTGAAATAAAAGCCTGAAATTTGTCAGCAGCTGCTCTGGCATTAGATAAATGCCTTTTGGTACTTCATAAAAAGTTACCTAAAGTTGGTCAACTTATAAGCCTTTAGGGAAATATAATAAAATCAGTTCACACCTAATCAGAAAATATTTCTTTGACTTCAGCAGCTAAACTCTCTCTTGCCAGTATCTCCAGTGGGGCAGCTTCTGTCTGAAGCTGCAGAGACAAAGCAAGGCTTTCCTTAAAATTTCTTCTTCAGGTGCCAGGCAGGGAAGTGAAAAAAGGAAAACGTCTCCTGGAACCTCAAGGGTCTCCTCCTCATTGTTCCTGTCGTACCAGATACATACACTGCGACTTCTTCACAACTGAATGAGAGTCCCATAAATAACACTCACTTTGGCTACATAATCCTGATTTATTCCCAGAGAGTCTATGTTGTACCCTGAATCCGGCCAGTATGGAAGAAATATTATGGCTCTAAGAGAGGATCACAGAGCAGACATGCTAGAAAGGCTAAACTAACTTCGCCATATTGGCAAAGGTACCACATTTGATATGATTTTTGGCATCTAGCTTCAGAAATACTTTTAAGACAGTGTAAAACAGCTGTGGACCTGTGTGACTGCACATCTTGAAGAACATTCATTAAACTTCATTAGACAGCATAACCTATTTTTTTCTTTCTTTTTTTTTTTTATCCCCCCCCCCCAAAAAAAAAATCATTGCCCTATATTCAACTTTCCATTTCAAAATTCCTCACTAGCTAAACGCTGCTCTTCCTTCGGCATTTAAAATTTCCACTGACTTTGGGGAGAGAGGACTTCTGTCAATGATGCATATTCTGAAGATCCCACTGGCAATACAATGAAGGACTGCAGTGCTAGAACTACAACAAATGGAATATTTGACTCATGGTGGTAGTGCCAATACAACCTCCTTCAGCTTATGCTGCCATGCCATAAATACATTGTGGGTAATGAAAAGTGCCCTGTATAGGAAAATACTATTAGTCTATTTTTGTCACTCAATTTGCCCCAAATAAACAACGGGATGCTCAGCACAGCTTAGTGCTTCATGCATAACTATGCTCATAGAAAAAAATAACTATGAAAATCTGATACTACAAATATTTCTGAATGCACAAGTTCTCAAAATTTTTAAATATTTTAATATTAAAATACATAAAATATTTTAAAGTATATAAAATAAATTTAATATCAAATACTAAAAATCTAATATTTTATTCTATTTAATTTAGAAAAAGCAATTGTTAACATAGGAATACACTCCGAAAAGCTCAAAGACAGGCTAATAAGGCCATGCATCTCCAGTTTATACCCACTGATGGCTGAGGAACTGTATATACAAAACCTTTTCATAATAGAATCATAGAATAGCTAGGGTTGGAAAGGACCTTAAGATCACCTAGTTCCAGCCCCCCTGCCACGGGCAGGGACACCTCACACTAAACCATGTCACTCAAGGCTCTGTCCAACCTTGAACACTGCCAGAGATGGAACATTCACAATTCCCTTGGGCAACCCATTCCAGTGCCTCACCACCCGCACAGTGAAGAACTTCTTCCTTCTAGCTAACCTGAACTTCCTCCGCTTCACTTTAAGCCCATCACCCCTTGTCCTATTGCTACAGTCCCTGATCAAGATGCAACACAATTTATGTATTAATAGCTGTGGGGATTAAACACAGCTAAGAAAGCGTTAAGGTACAAATGCTTTCAGGCTTACTCACATACCCAAAGAGGCAAGACTCAAGTTCTTTTGCAAAGCAAAAAAAGGAATCTATTAAAAAGAACAAATTGTGTCGATGAGTTCACCACATTTCAGAAAAATCTCATCTAATAATTCCAAGTCGTTTTACAGAAACAGCATTTGGAGGTATTAGTAAGTATCTCAGGAAAGAATTTCATGAATGGTCTTCATAAAAGTGAAAGAGAACAACACACTTCCCCAATTACACAATTCTTACTGTTCTCATTCACTGTCCTTTCTTTCAGAGGCAAGGGTTTTTTTTCCTCTCTTTTTAATAAAGGTAATATTTCTGAGAATAACTGGGATAAGTATAGGGCTGTTTTACCACCTACTTTCAGAATATTGCACAATGACTTGTCTACGTGTACAGTCATCCACATGCTTAGTCTTACTGGAAAGTCAATCCAATGTGTAAAACCTGCTGTCCCAACCCCTGTGTATTCCCTGACCTTTCTGAGCGACGCTGAAAATAGAAGGAGTGACTATTGCTGATGATTTGGGACTTTTTAAGCCTACAAGAAGAGTATGTACGGGAAGGCTGGCATTAGTTTTTAGAGTCTGTGGTTTGTGTTATCACATTTCTGTGAAGCTTAGTTCATTAATAGGATTCTTCCTATAAGAAGTTCCTCAAGGTACTTGTTCACAGTGCTGCCTGCAGGAATGGACAGAGGAAGAGAAGATCTGAAATGAAAATGCTTAAGAGCTAATACAGAAAATTATTGTCAAATAGACTTGAAAAAAATACTCTCAGCGATTTCTTAAGGGTTTCAGGGTAACTCTTAAAATATCTAACAATATTATTCTTATTCAAAAAAGTGAAAGGTGATTTTCTTTTACATGTATTTTTTCTAGTAATACACTATTAGGCAATAATGATTAAAGCTGCTGTTGCTGCCCTAAGTATTTTCTAATCTAAGATGCCTCCATACCCCACATGCAAACTGTGACTAAGTTACAGGTGGAAAAATAAAAGAAAGAAAATAAATCACTTTTTGGTGTAGCTTCACCTGGAATGAAGGCAAAGCTGTCTTTGGACCAAGCAGCAAGTGTGACCTCATGATTTCCTGGTGTTGGGAACTGCAAGCCAGCCTCCACTGTCAGCCACACCTATGTCGACTCATGCAATTCAAATTAAGCAACTTGAGTTATTCCAGATTTGCATTACTACAACTGAAAGGAGAAGATGGGCTTTCAACGACTTTTGCAGGCTTCATTGGAACGTGGATTTGTCATGTTTACAGGAATCTGATGTTTTCATCGCTGAAGAATAGGAATAATGAGGAACAAGAGGTATATAATGGTAGTCAAGAGTCATATTTATGTTCCAAATATGGGTGGGGTATCTTTTGGGGGTTTCTTTTAATCCTTAATATCAGACATATATAGAATCATAAAATAGTTAGGGTTGGAAAGGATCTTAATATCATCAAGTTCCAACCCCCCTGCCATGGGCAGGGACACCTCACACTAAACCATGTCACCCAAGGCTCTGTCCAACCTGGCCTTGAACACCGCCAAGGATGGAGCTTTCACAACTTCCCTGGGCAACCCATTCCAGTGCCTCACCACCCTTACAGTAAAGAAATAAAACAACACAAGCCCCATTATACTCATGGTATTCAAATTCTGGGCCAGCCAGAAAATGGTGAAAAGTCTAAATATGCCTTGAAAAATCCCATAAAATTCTCCAAAATGTGAAATCCACAAGACATAGGACATAGATGCATGCAGTCAATTTAAATGACTCTCAGGAAGACAATGCTAATAGTTCCAGGGCATATAAATATATTTTCATTAGTTGGATTGCATAAGGGTTGATAAAAGTGATCTCATTTTCTCCTTAAAGAAACTTCAAGTTTCTTCAGAAACATGAACTTCTGATTTTAACACCCACTGGAAAGCATACTTCTAAAGGTCTGAGGGACAGTTGAGTATGAGTGATTTAGTGTCACACACGATGAGTCTGTAACCTCTGTGACTCTTTAAAAGAAAAGGAAGAAAAACAATTTTTCCCCAAGTGACATCTGCTAAAATTATGTGTCTGGTAGCCCCTGCTTGTAATTAGACTGGAACCCGGGCAAGAAGTGACATGCAAAAGTGACAAAGCAAAAATGAAGACGCTATCACACACAGTCTTTTAGAAGAAAAGTTTCTCAAGGGAAGTTTTCCCTGTAGATTAAATTAGACACTTGAAGAAGTTTCAGCCTGTACCTTAACCAGTAGTATTTTCAACCTTCATTTTCCCTGCTTGCCACTTGGGAGAGCAGGATCTATCCTTCCAAGGAACAGATTATGAGACAGGTCTCATTTACAATTAGGTCGCTGAGAATAAATGTCAGCTTCTTGAAAAGACCTCACAATATACATACTTAGGTCCTTTGGACGGAGGTGAATTCCATCCCTAGCAAGTTTATTCCCTGTATTGAGTACTGGGGCCATATCAAATACAATTAGCTTCACTGCAACTCAGTGGAACTCATTATGACCAGACACCACCGAGGCCAAGGTCTTGGCTGGAATCAAAAGGGGCATTTATATGGTTATGGAGACCATCTATAGTTACATTAGACAGGACTAAAAAACCCACACACATTTTAAAGAACTTAAATCTCTAGGTTTTAAGCCAGAAGCCAACTTTTCTCTGAGAAGTTGTGAATGAAATTTTCCTTCTAAGTAGGTGTTTCAACAGTGGTGGTGGGGAGAAAGAATCTTCCCCCTCTGTAACCATGGAACAGTGTCTCATAACCATCTGTGACATTCCAAGTCTCCTCTGCAGGCTCTCTGCATTCCCCATACAGGGCCAAACTGCCCAGCAGATGTACTCCTTTCCTCACCTGGAAGCAGGCAAGATAAATCCCACTACTATGCACTTTTTGGCTTCCTATGCCTGAAGCATCTGATGTTTAACACTGCTGCCTCAACCACTGCACTGACACATTAGGGCAATTTCTCACTTATCTCAACCAGACCTACACAACTTCTGGGATTCAAACCACTCTCTTTTTATATAATAATAAAAAAAATAACACAGCAACCAAAGTTGGTCCTTTCCAACCCTAACTATTCTATGATTCTATGATTTGGATCACTGTTGTTACTGCAAATAACAACTGAAGCTGAATCTTGACAAATTCAAAACCAAACAAGGCATTAATTGTACATGATCAGGATAAATGAAAACTTCTGAAAGGTGTAGGTGGTCCCCAGAGATTGCATTCCCATTCCCTGCTAAATGACATTCTTAAGACTGAAGCTTCAGCTCAGTGCAACTTTTAGGTATGTCAAATAAGTGACTGGCTGAGACTCTCATACCCTGTGTTAGGCAGTAGGGAAAAATAGATCATAGAATCACAGAACGGTCAGGGCTGGAAAAGATCCTAAGAGCAGCTAGTTCTACACCCCTGCCATGGGCAGGGACACCTCACCTAGACCATGTTGCCCAAGACTGTCCAATAATGAGGATATCGCAAGATCATGAATAGATGATCTTCAGGACTCACAATCTCCAAGCTAACAGTTCTCCAAATGCATTAAGAGGTTGAAATTCTCAATTGCTATCCCCGCTTCTTGGTCCCTCTTACAGAATTCCATTCTGGAAGGACATAAATATGAACACAGGATGGGGCAAAAGGGAAAGGAGAAAGAAAGTAAGAAAAGGGGGCTACATACCCAGCCGACCTTCTGATGTGCTGTGCAAGAGATAGATGCACACTCACAGAGAATAGTGGGGGTGCCAAAAGGAAGGAGAGAGACTCCACAGGGTCTCTTGGGCAAATCCAGGCCTGAGTTTCACCACAGCAACTGTAGGGAGAGCACGGCCTAATTCTTTCCACAGTCAATATGTGCACAGGTGTGCTAAAGCGAGAGATTTCTGCTGCACGACACCAGTGACACAACCACAAAGAGGAAAAAAAAAAAGGGGGGGGGGGGGAGGGAGAGGAAAAAATCAATAATAGCTGGACATTCATTTAAACAAATGCATCATCCCATAAACAGTGCAGCAGCTTTCAAATGTAAACAAGAAAAGGTGAACTTTGTTCACATTATGTCTCCAGCTGTTTTGTGTTTCAAGACTGTGCGCCACAGCTGGGCTGATGAGCTCTGAATCCTGGGAAAAGGGGAAATATTTAACCTAACTTAAACAGAAAGAAGCAAGCCTCAATGGTGAGAGATAACAGGTGGGAGTCGTGCTCTGCTGCTGTGCCTGGAGGGTAAAATCTGGCATGCAGAGGTAGCTTCAGAACAAAAGTCGTCACAGCTGCTGTTTGCTGTTCTCCTCAAGTCCTTCCCTATTTATTCAGCATCACTGACAGCACCCTAGCAACATTAGTTTAAGTCACCATCAATTGTTATAAAATTAGCTCATGGTCCTGAAGCCTAGGCAAGATGTGGGCAACAATATCTGCACGTCTGTGCGAGAATACGCTGTTAAAATGCATGTGTAAGCCTTCCCCTGGCCCATTAAAATACTGAGACAGCTGCAGTGAAACATGGGGTAGGTTTTTCCAATCCCTAAACCTAAAAACCACTCTCAAAAAAAGAAGCTTAAGTGCATTCCCCATCCATATTTACAGGACAATGGTGTTAACATAAATCACCTTCCTTTATTTTAGCACAGGGGAAAATCTGATGTACACCCTCTGCCTCTTAGTTCTGTTGCTGCTTTCTCTGCTTCCAGCTTGCTTTAATGTCAGCCTTTAAAGACTTCACCAGTCCTCTGGGTCTTGAGCCTCTTCCTTAGGCACTAAAGTCAAATCCAACATAGGCAGACTTACAATGTATGTTAAAATTGAGTGCTCAGGACCACCCTTGTACTGGCACAGCAGACCCCTCCTTCTGTACCACCAGCATGCTGTACATAACATGCAAAGACTTAATCCATTACAGCTCCAAGGTATTTGCTGTTATGGGTTTGCAACAACCAAATGGAATATGACAACTACTTGAAAAAGAAGCATCAAACAAGCATAACCTCAAACTAGCACTGAACCTGCCCTTCCTTTTCTAATTTTCATCATTACTAAAAAACCCTAATAAATTTCAGAGTCATTTCAGAGAAAGAAAATGCAATAGTCCAAACCCATCCTCCTTCCGAGCCACTGGCAAGAACTCAAGCAGTTTAATAAAACCCCAACATGTGGGCAGCAACGTGTGAGCTCATTTTACTATGCAACATTCAGCAGGATTTCTCTCTTTTCCTGGGGCCTTCTCAGGACCACCAATACGGATGCAGATGCCGGTTATTTAATAACAAAGAGGGACAAACAAGTACAAAAATTAGTGAGGTGGCAGCTTGAGCGGCATATTAGAATTGCCTAGCATCTTGTTTCCATTGCATAGCAGATTCAAAAGATTCACATCAGCGCATATGCAAATGACCGTATAGGAGAGGGTTTTCAAAAGCAGATCTGCAGGGGAACTTTTGTGCTCTGGCACTATTAGAGACTGCGTAAGAGGATGAAGTTACAGACTGGACCAGAATTTGGCACAAAATATCTCTCATGCTGGCCTTCACAGGGGCCACAAGCAACAGTCAATTAGACAGGTACTTTCCAACAGAAAGGACCGGATTTTTACAAACAGAAGCACTAAGAGCGTAAGGCTCAGAAACACCTTCAAAAACCTTTCAGTCGGCCCAGAGCAGTCATGGAGGTTAACCTACAGCCCCACTTACTCCCAAATGTTCCTGAGCATAAATAGTGGGACTCTGACTGCCCCTGTTCTCTGCATGGAGAGCAGCCAGGACCTTGCACACAGCCATTTCTTCTCCAGTCGTATGGGAAAAGAGCAGTGCTGCTGAACGCGGGCACTCCTTAATCTCCTTCATAAAGGTCTTCCCCTCAGAAATGTTGTTCAAGCTGCTGCTGAAAACCCCAGCTGGGATATGGGCTTTACTGGACAAGATATTCATTGTTCGATTTATGGCTTGACTGTACTTGCAGAAATGTATTTCACTTCAGCATCAGATGAGATGGATGAAGGGAATCAAGGGAGAAGTTCATCAGAGGGTTTCTTTCTTTATTTGATTTGTTTTCTGAATCACTGAAATGAAGATGTTTGTCTAGCTCAGCGATGGGTAAACATCTTTGCTTTTCCCTGCATGTCATTTTTTCACTGGTAGGATTTACAAATTCTAACAGTTGCATTTCTGAAAGAGATACAGAGGCACGCAGAGACAAGAAAAAGGGAGGAAAGTTTTCTACCTGCCAGGAGCCAAAATCTGTTCAGGATTGTATTCATGTCAGTCTGCAGTAACCCCAACATCATCAATTGAGGAATGCTCGTGAAAACAAACACAGAATCCAATTCCATTCAGAGATACAAAACAAATAAAAAGAATCTCTAGCCTGAAATTCCAAGAGCAGAAGAAAACCTACAGTTACATTGACCTTAACAGATCTCAGAGATGAAGCTCCCTTCTAGGAGAGATGTATTGCAAGCACCGACTGATAATGCAGGACAACACAGTGGTTTGAGCAGCATGTGTTTTATTTCACTGCTGAGTACCAGGACTGCCATGAAACCCAGGAGAGGGAGGCTCTGCCTGGATGATGGACGTCTCTAATGAGGCTTGGTCACTCTGTGTGAAAGAGTCAACCTTGTCAACCTACAACACGCTGCCAGAGCACAATCTCATGTGTTATCATTCAGCTTATAATGGAGCTACACTTCCATACATGTGCTTGTGAGCATATTTTAAAGGCAAACCAGGATTTACCATAGAGATGTAAAGAAGGGACCATAAAGGAGTTACTTTTGAGGCTTTCTAAAGTATGTTCAAAGTAACCAGTCCCCCATATAATGTGAAATCAAAGAGTGAAAACCTGCCAGAAAGGATATTAAGACTCTCTTGATTGTGAAGGCTCATAAAATAAATGTGTTGGTTGTTATGGATTAAAGTGTGTACCAAAAAGATGAAGGAACACCTAGCATCTGGAGTCTATATTGTAGTCTCTAAAATTCCTAATAGATCTGTGTCAAAAAAAGATATACTGAGATTAATAGGCTAAAATGAAAACATATCCCTTCAAGATGAACAGAAAAATGTTTAGCCAGAAGTAACACAATCCACGGGATTTAAGCACTTCCAAAACTCACAAGGCTGTCATTCCTCCAAGCATTTCACCAGTTTCTGACCTTAAGATTTATCTAAAGGTGAACAATACCTGAACTTCCATTTCACTGCAAATTCTAGATTAGGAGAAACTAACAAAAATCAATATGCTGCTTTCTTTCCTCAGCACTCATGACATCTGCAAGAACTGGCTATGTCAGTGTCCAAATGCAAAATCTCTAGGCTCTACTTAGATAATTTAGGAATAAACCAGTATTAGCAGTTCAGTTGGTGAATCTTTGCAAATTGATCTAAAACCACCTTACAGGTTTCACTATGCCTTTTAAAAATGTGAAGATATCATCAGAAATCAGTTCCTGTGACAAAACATCCCCATGATGCTACTGCTTTTGAAGAATTAAGATATTCTATGTTTCATGGCTGACAGCATCACCAAACACAGTTTCATAGCTGTGGTCTACCACCAATAAATAAATTCTCTGCATATCCAGTTATTTCATTTTATCACTATTGGAGGCCTTATCTTTAGCACTTAACCCTGTTCATACAGCTCTGATAGGACAGCAGGATCTGTAAGGGAGACATAAAAATCCTCTAGGGCCAAATTTACATACCTTGGACCCCCATCTGTTCAAAAGGGCCTTTTTAATATAAGCCAAAATTAGTATCTCCCTGCTCCTTTCACACGGCTCTTCCAACGTAAATCCAAGGCAAGGATATGATGATTGTTCTCTAAACACTTAAGTTAGTAGCTGTCATTAACCTCTGTTGAAAGAGACTGCTAGATTTGGGCACTGTTCCTTTGGATTTCTACAGGGGAGTCCAGGAAACCTCCACTGCCTCCTCCTTGCTGTTGAATAGAAGTAGGAAAGTCTTCTCCCAAAGCTGGTGCTAAGCCAAGAAGCACCTACCAAGGACTAGAGCTGAAAAAACCTGCATTAAAACAAGTGAAGCTCTCTCAATATAGATCAAACCTGTCCTGCCCAGAAAACTTCGACATGGACAGCAGCCTCCCAGAAGAGCATCAGGGAAAAAGCACCAGGAAACAGAGGAACAGACTTTAGACATACTTGGTTCCCTGCAGAAGCTGGTCAGAGAGGCATCAGACAAGGGAAAAGGAGGTGGGTGCGGAGAACTGCGGTAGATACACAGCTGTCTTCTGTTAACATCTCCAGGCTTGAGCTAACCAGGCTTTCATTAGAAGATGAACCACACCTGGCTCCTGATGAATCCTGAATGCCAGCTTCACTTTTTAGTGAGGTTCTTGCTTCTTTTTCAGTAACTTTTACTTATCACAGTCAAGGCTTTTTTACTTTCTTTCCTCAAGACTGCCCCTCATAGGCATTTTTTTAAACACTGGGAAGGAAACTCTGGTTGTACGTGTTCCAGGCCAGAGTTGTGACACAGCAAATTTTATTTGGATTTTTAATAACTATATATTGCATTTAATCACCAGCTTGTAATTTCTTTTTATTAGGTTTCTCTTAAAAATTCATTAGCAATCATGAAATGTAACAATATTTCTGTCCTTCCATCTACTATAAAGACAATATCTGCCAGAAACTGTATGTAATGACTGTAGTGCTGTTTAAACCATTTACAAAATGAGTTCTTCCTACTTTCAAAATAGCTCAAAGGCAACTATGAGTGCAATTAATTGGTCCCCTATGATACTGGTACACACAGATTGATAAACTCCATGAGGATAATTTCGGCAGGAATGACTGAATGGCTCAGAATTTCAAGTACTTTATATCTCTCTAGGTTTTCTCACAAAGCCCTTTTAATTTTGAAAATCGTATTTGTTTGCTCTCAGTCAGATTCTCTTTCTTCCTCTTTTCTTCCTTCCTGTGATACTTTTCTGTAAGATAACTGCTTAGTTCCAAAGACGAGTCTACTCATACTACAAAATGCTAGAAATTTGCTCCTATTTCTTTTCAAGTCCATCCGAAATGTGCCAATAAGACACACAAACAGCACATCTGGAGGACACGCTAT